CTATCATTGTTTGTTTAACCAGCACCTCCCTCTCCCCCAATAAATAAGCAAAAATGCATAAATTGCCCTTTCTAGGGAAGATAGTGGAGTTTTTTTATGCTAAGGCTTTTAAGTGACCCTCACGCCATTTTTGGAGTTATACGCTTATAACATTTATGTTGTATATATTAGGAGCTCTGTCCTGAATAAAGGGAAATAGAATAAAACCTGATTTGGCTTTCAGTTGTTGAGCTCTCACTGTGGAAATTTTGTTCTTGATGTTGTAGTAGCTGTTATATTCATAATAACCGGGTGTGAATCTCCAGAGACACACATGTGGTGTGTTGGGATTGGGCCACAGATAGTGAAGCTAAGGGTCACTCAGAAATCTTAAAAAATGACTTTAAAAAAAACACAAAGATCAGCTAGAAAGACAGAGTCTGTTCCTAGAGCTCTTTATGTTTTTTTTTTTTAAAAAATAACTTATTGGGAGAGAAAATTATTATTCTTTGAATACATTTTTAAAAAAACCCTAGATGTGAACATTCCACTCTTTGCAGAACATCCGTGGTCAGAAGTATTTATTTGTCTCCCAGTCTGTAAATGTACTTGGTGGATAGAACAGTTGTAAATCTATTGAATAGCATTTGAATTTATATAAGTGGGAACTTAAGTAAATTGAGTTATATAAGTGGGAACTTTGACAATCAGCCTAACTATTCAATTAGAATAGAAAGCATTAAGAGTGTGAAATTAATAGATTTACAGGCCTGGGAACCTCATTAGAATTAAGCTTTTTGGGGTACTGCTCTTTTTTGTGGTCATAGTGTGGGTATAGGCTGGTTATATTTTACTGTTTGACTTATTACTGGAAAAATCGGAAAAATAATTTAAAAAGTAATATTTCGGAAAAATAATTTAAAAAGTAATATTCAGAATCTGTCCTGGAATCCCATAACTTCTGTTACTCTCCTGAACGCTTGTTTCTAAATATGTAGATGAAAAATTAACAGTAATTATGTGTATTGAGAATGTAGGAAGGAACACATTTAGATGGTTATTAAAATTCAGTAGCAAGATAAGGCAAAATAGCTGAAAATTCCTGGGAAAGAGAATGTAGTTGACAGTTCTGTGCAGAGAAAGGAGCCCGTTTTACATATTTCTTTTGTTTTTTGTTTTCTCAGGATATTGGTCAGGAATCTGTAGACTTATTGGCATTCAACTCGGTCGCAGAAGTGGAATTGCTGGGTCTGGAGAAGCTCAAGTGTGAACTCACAGCTCGGGGGCTGAAGTGTGGGGGCACCCTCCAGGAGCGGGCAGCAAGACTCTTCTCCGTCAGGGGACTGGCGAAGGCACAGATAGACCCAGCCTTATTTGCCAGGCCTTTGAAGGGGAAGAAGAAATGAATTGCGTCAGAACTGATTTCCTTCCTTTTTCTAGTGCAGCACTTACAACCTGACTCGTGGCCATTATTCCTGTTGATATTAAAGCCGATAGAACCCAATCCTAACTATCCTCTTTTTCATTGTTACAGTTACAGAATTAATGTGTGACGCCATCTGAGCTTGACGTTTTTGTGGGAAGATTTTTTTAAATAACAAATTTAATAACTGTGAAGCTATTCAGATTTTTGGTTTTATCTTGTGTCATTTAGGAAAGTTATATTTTCAAGGAATTGATCCATTTGACTCAAGTTGTCTGATTTGTGGACGTGAGGTTATTCCTAATAGTCTCTTCTTATCCTCTGAAAGTCTGCAGTGGTAACTTTTTTCATCTGAGTTTTCAGGTGGTGGTTCTGAAAGGGAGAGAGCCGCTGCCGTGATTCCCGTCACTGTAGCATGTAGAGGGGTGGCTGTCATGCAGGAAGCGGCTAGTCAGTAAAACGTCTTGGGCAAAACGAGATAGTAGGTAGTTAAGAAATCAAATATCTATTCCAAGAGACCACAGGGCTTAAAGTCTTAGAGAAAGAAAAAACATTGTGGGGCCGGCCGGGTGGCTCAGTTGGTTAAGAGCGCAAGCTCTGAGCAACAGCGTTGCTGGTTCGATTCCCACATGGGCCAGTGAGCTGCACCCGAGCTGGCAACTGGACTTGGAGCTGAGCTTGCTGCACCCTCCACAACAAAGATTGAAGGACAACAATTCGGCTTTCCCCTCCCCCAATTCCCCAATAAAAAAATCCTTAAGAGAAAAGAAAAAACATTGTGATCCCAAATTATGCTGCAATGTGCCAGCTGTAGGTTTTTGGGGGGAGGGAGGGGTGAGTTTGCAGAGTGAGTGAAATACACATGCTCATGTAGTTTCACTTTTTTGAGAGTGGTACACATTTTATGTTTGATCTTAGATGTCTACAGAAAAAGATAAAGTTTCAAAAAGAAGTGTATTTTTTTCATTATCTTTCAAGAATATTTTGGACACTTGTCCTTTTTTCATGATGATAGAAACAACCTTATGGAGATATCGCTCTTTGTTTTTCCTGGTTTCCATTTTTTCAAGCTATATGTCAACTCTCCTCCCCTCCCTTTTTTGTAATGTCTCAAGTTCTTATTTGGGTACAAGAATCATTCTGCTACATGGTCTGTCCAATTCTTATTTTCGCTTTTTGTCTTCTCTGATATTCCTAGAGGAATTTTTTTTAAATAGATTATATGGATGGTGTATTTTCTGAATCCTTGCATAATCTGGCAGTGTTTTTCTATTGTCTTTGCAGTATCAAATCCTTGGCATACAGTGTTTTCCTTTCAAAATAATATTTGCTATTTTTGGTATATAGTATTACGGAAGAAAAGCTTTATGTCTGATTTGAGTTTCTTTTTTTATTGTATATAATGTGTTTTTCTCCTTAGACACTTCTATATATTTTTTTTATCCTTCAAATAAAAAAATGTTACCAGGTTATTTCTAGGTGTGATCTCTTTCTTAATATATCTTAGTATTGGGTGATCCTTTTGAGGTCTGAAGACTAGTCCTTTTATTTTAGACTGTTATTTTCCTATTATTTGATTATTGCTTTGTGATTATTGCTTTTATTCTCTGCTCTGTGGGACCTCATTTTCTTTCACATCCAATCCGCTGTTTGCCCCTCCTCTTGTGTTTGTCGATTCAACAGTTGGGTTTCTCCCTTAGGAAATCTTTCTCACACTCAGATTGGTTGCTCTTCATGTTTGCTTCCGTTTTATAGATATGTTGTCTTGACACTCAGTGTGCATATGCTTTTGAGGACTGTGTATATCTTCTCCATTTCTCTTTCATAGGGACGCATTTCCTCTGATCCCTCAAATCGATTTGTTTACGATTAATCCTTTTTCCAGGATGTCCTCATGGGTATGAATTTAGGATGGGATTCGATGTGCAAGGGATTTATTGAGGGGTTGATGCAGGAGAGGGTAGGAAGACTCTTCAGATGCAGGTTTGACACCCACGGAAGGAGGGGGAACCAAGGATTGTAGGCAGAGTCTCAGGCTGCAGTACCATTACAAGGAAGGTTCAACCAGGTTGATGCTGTGTCCCGGGGCCCAGCTCACCTGCTGGAATTCAGAATCTCGCCGGAATGGGCTGCCTCAGTGCCCACCCCATGCTTCCTGGCTAAAAAATCTGGCCTGGCGTGAACCTGATGGGCCCAGAGGGCAGCCAGTGGGACCACCCGTCAGCTATGCTCCCCAAAGCAGGGGACCTGATGGGCATATATTCATGGCTGCCAGAGTGCGTTTTCCTGTTGCTTAGGATTATTTTTTCTAGATTGGGTAGTTGAAAACAGTTTTCTTCAAATTGTGTGGCTATCTGTACAAATCTTGAAAAGCACACTCAGAGGAAAGGGGAAAGCTGGGACAGTGGAGGTTTACTTTGTCAGATTAGCGGTTCGTTCTCTTGTAAGAGGTGTGGGCAGCCAGGCCCAAAGCATTTCTTTTCTGTCGTGGCAGCGTGACGTTGGCTGGGTCAGTGCCCCTTTGCTAATTGGCACGGTTAGCCCCTTCAGGCTGCCAGCTCCAGCTGTGCCCTGCCTCATCCAACACGGAGTATGAGCAGCCCTCGCTCTGCACCCCACAGGCAAATGCACCTTGACTGGCAAAGTGAAAAGACTGTCACTCTGAAATTGCCCCTTTCTTGTAGCATGAAAGGCTGGAAGTAAGGACGCTCACAATGAACAGAGTCGGACCATCTTGCCATCCTCACATGTGACTGTAGTCGGTGCAGCTCTCACTGGTCCACGCATGGGGGCGTTAATGGGCTTCTGCTGTGGGTCCATTTCACCTGCTGTCACTTTGATTTGGAGTTTGCAGCCTTTCTCCTCCAGTTTCTGGTGTGAATACAGAGCTTCCTCGTTACATTCCTTTGGTGACCTCAATAGGAGTTTGCAAGAGGGAGTTAAATGTATGTGCTCAGGTTACCACCTTGAAGCGGCACTTGTTAGCACGTTTTCAAGATTAAAAGTGCCTCCCAGAAAGTCCAGTCACTTAACAGCAGCCACTAACAATTCTAGGCTGGCTCTGATCAAAACCAGGAAGGTACTGTCAAACTTAATGGCACAGCTTGTGTGTCTGAACTAGAATACTGCAAAGGGGACTGGAATCCAGGTGGCGCCATGTCACACAGGCTGTCACTGTAAGCCAACTGCCCATGGACATGTTTCTGGGGAAAAGTCTGACAGACTGTGCCAGTCTAACCTCTGACGATGGGGAACTGATGTGAATGTGAAAAAGTGCTACCTGGTGTTGCCGTTTCATTCAATCTCTGTAAGGTTTCCATTTGAGAATAACTAAGTTAATGGTGCTCTATGAAATGAGCCTTCATCCAAACCATTTCTAGATCACTGATTCAGGATCACTCCAAGAACTTGAGGCCACGTGAATACGGCCCTGAGTTCCATGACATTGGTGGGTTAAATTGAAGCCCTTGCAGTGGCGTAAAACAACATCGGTTTTCCCTGGAATCCAGGTCGTGGGGTGTGATGGGCTTTCGGGCAAGGACTGTACAGTCACAGATCTGGGTCCAAGTCCTGGTTTTCCCCACTTTTAATAGTGTTTCTTCAGAGAAACTCAGCAAAGTTGTGAGCATCAGTTCCCTAATCCTACCATCGGATGGGATCAGGTCTACTTTTAGGACTGTTAAGATTATGGGATGCTATGTAAAGCACCTGCACAGTGCTTGGTTGTTCAATAAATGGAAGCTGTTGGAATACTCTAGAAGAGCACCATTGTCCGACAGAAATGCAACACGAGCCACAAATGTCATTAGAAATTTTTCTTGAAGTCACATTAAAAAGTATAAAGGAACAGGTGACATTAACGTTAAGACACTTTATTTAACCCAATGTGTTCAAAGTATCATTTCAACATGTAATCAATGTAAGAAAATGATTAAGACAAGTGTATGGTTTGGGTATTTTTGGTACTAAGCCTTTGAAATCTGGTGTGTATTTTACACTTACAGCGCTCCTCAGTTCAGACTGGCCACACGTGCTTCAGAGTCCCACGTGACTTGTGGCGACTACTGGACATTGCAGCTCTAGGGCACAAGAAGGTGAGCATTGCAGAACAGTCCATCTTAGTTCAAAACAGCAAGCACAGAGCTGAGTCCAAGCAGAATGTGACTTAGGGTACTCGGGGCTGTTAGCACGCTCCTCGCCTCCCTCAGCTGCCGAGGTGGTCAAATGGAGTGGATGGGAAATGAAACCTTCATGAGCAGTCAAGTGTCACCATGTGAGGTGGAAGCACCTTTCTTGTGGGGACACACCCATGCCAGTTGGCTCAGGGGCTGAAACAAGTGTGAGCTATAGTCTGGGACTCCCGGTCTGGGCTTTGCTGGTGCAGGGCTGGGTGACATCCCAGCAAAGTGCTCGAGGTGTGTGTTTACTTCTAGGAATTGAGCTGTAAGGCATAGCTTCAGCTCGCAGGGGGTCATAATTAGGCCCTTTGAAGCATCTTGAAATGAAAAAGGAGTGAGGAATTAAGACTGTAAACAAATTCTCTGTGAAAATGGGCATTCAATTCTGAGAAGGATCCCAGTGCTGGCCACCTGAAAATGTACCAGGTAGGTCACTTAGTACACTTCAGGGTTTAGCATAGGAATGGCAATTCGATTAAGAAGGCACGTCATGTCTCTGCCTGTTGAAACTCATTTTTGAAACTCATGGGTTACCTCCTCCAACTGTAAAAGGAAAAAGCAATGGACTGGTTACAGAGTTTATTCCACAGACCTAGGGCTTCCAAACTTTATTAATTATGCATGTCTCTCAGTAAAACATTTGGGGGTGTGCACCCCAGATCGTGTCATCTGTTTAGAGCCCTCCGTTTGGTTGCCATTCCCCAAGTGCTTCCTCACAATGGCCTGCGAGCCCTTTCACAGTCCACACCCCTCTTGGACCTCACACGCTTTCTGCCTCACCCCTCCTCAGCCAAAATGGCGCCTTGCTGTTCCTTGAATAAACCAAACAAACCGAACACACAGCTCTGGCCCCAGAGCTCTGCACTGCCTGCTCCCTCCGCCTGGAACATTCTTTCTCCAGAT